AAAGAGATGCCAGAAGGCAGAGGCTGTGAGCCCCAGGACTATGTTTTGTGAACCTTCTTGTGCTAAAAGCATTCTTTCATTACAGACGTGAGAAACACAGCATTGACCAGATTTTTGAATTTTATTTCCTGCTTAAAAACATAAGGTGAAAAGAGAAGTAACTGGTGAGCATTTTACTTATTGTTTATCAGCAGCTCTCTTATTCTTCTAGGAAATCAGTATCTTCACAAAACAGCTAATGGAGATATCCTACGTTTCGATGTTGACGCCGGAACATCCTCAGTAATCTTGGCGAATACGACATTAGTACGTTGACTTATATATAATATATGCAGATGTTGGAAAAGGCATTGAATTTAATATTTTGTTCTGCATATTTGTTTGGAATCAGTGCTTTATGTGTTCCTTTTGACCTTTGTTGACAGGATAAATACAAGGCAACCACAGTTATATTGTCTCCTGACCAAAGGTTTGCTCTTCTGCAGTACAGCTATACAAAGGTACCTTTGTGTGCTCCTCTGAGGATGAAGCTGGGAAATAAAGGTTTGGGAACAACTGGGGATGGCAGAAGGCTGAGAGAATGTGAAGGAAATACAGGAGAATGGATGAATGAGATGGATGTCTACAGGGGAACGGTGAAGTGAGGCAGGAGGAGAAGAGAGACTGGTGGTGTCTGTGAGCTTGGCAGAAGCGATGTGACTGCCTGAGAAAAGCAGCTGGATAAAAAGTGGATGGAGAGATATCACAAGGAGGTTGAGGCTGGATGGTTCATTTGGGGAGACAAGCTAGAAGAGTAGATAGGCATGACCGTCCAAGGAGTTGTGTGGGTAAGGAGAAGTGGTGAATAGATATGCTTGTACATATATGCTATGTATGTATATGATTGTTACATTGTGGTGTTAAGCCATAAGAATTTCAAACTGAGGTGAATGAAAAGCAGCATGTGCTTACAAGAAAAGGCTCTCCTCTTCCACTTGGAGTGGACTTGGGTGTCCTCATTCCCTTCTGTCAGCAAGCATGTGAAGAACCTCTCACAGAATGCCTCGTCCTGCCTTGGTGC